TTTGGCTACTGAAGCTTATCGACCGATTTGACGGGTGCTAGGCGGACATTGAAAGCGCCAATGTATGATTTGAAGCGTGGTTTCAGGAGACCAGTGATGCTGTTCTTTTAACTCAGATCGTTGTCGAGAGCTTTAGAGCTAGAAAAAATTAACGAAAATGTAGGATTATTGATCCAGAGACGCAGAGGAAGATTCAAAGGTAGGGTGTAGGTAGGATGTGAAAAGTAGACAGTGATCTGAGGAAATTTTGAGTGCTGACAGATTTGTGAGGGCAGTCGAGACTTTCCATCTGCCTATATAGTGGAAGGTTGGTTCTCGAAGTAACTCAGAGACAAGGTTTAGTGCATGACTGCAGAGTGCAAAGGACATCTGTTTGACGCCAGCCACACGAGACTGTTTTACGAGTTGGAAATTTCTGTTTTTGCTTTCAAATCTGACTGTAAACCCTTGTCGCTGGGATCACCGCTGCCGCCGCCACCGCCACCACCACCACCAATTATTATTATTCCTTTGGGTTCCTAGTAAAACATAGGGCTTCAGTAGCACGCCTCCATTGCACTCTGTTCTCTGCAGTCTTTTGAACCTGGAGCCACGACTGCCCACAAACTTTCATTTCTTCCTCATATGATCTCCTCCATGTCACCCTCGCCTTGGACGCCCAACTCGTCGTTTCCCCTTTGGATTTCAGTGTTCTTCCACGCCCGATCCTTCGGGGATGTTGCTCAATGTCTCCCATTTTCTGATGGCTGACGTGAAGATGTCCCTTGTAGTTTTGTCCTTCAGTTTCTGGGTGGGCGATCAACTTGAACTGTGGTCTATCACAAACTTCTTTGAAGGCTTTCAACTTGATTTGGAAGGTTCCTTGGACTAGACAGTGAGTAGTGTGGACCTACATCTGCTCCCCTTCTTCATCTGATCTTGTGTCGAGTAGGCTGCGTCTGCACTTTCTTTACATCTAGATGAAATCGATCTGATTTTAGTGTGTCCTGGAATCTGGTGAAATCTGTGTCAGTCGCTTTGTGAATATCCTTGTGTTTGTACACACTGCCTCGCCTCCAATCACCAAATCGTTGAATGCGCAGAAATCTGTAAACAGTTTTCAGTTCTCATTCATTTCATCGAGCGCTTCTCCACTCATGATGAGTTCTCTTCCTGTGTTGTCCGCTCCGAGTTTGGCATTCATGTCACCCATTAGAGTGAATTTTGTTGTTGCCATCTGGTGTGGGGTCTTGTTCAGTACTGATTTCAGTTGTCTACAGAATTCTTCCTTTTCTTGATCTGCATTATTTGTAGGTGCGTAGCGTGGCGTAGCACTGCATGATTGTAATTTTCCTTCCTTCTGATTTGAATCTTGCTGTTATAATCCTGATGCTGGAGGAGATTGGTTCCCATTACGTGAAAGCCTGCGATGCTCTTGGGACATGATGAAAGCCACTCCTCAACTCAGTGTGCCCGTGGTTGTTGTCTGGGTGACAATATTGGAGTAGATTATTGACTCTCCAGTTAAGAGTTTGGAGAGTCCACTTCTATTCCATCTGCTTTCGTAGATTCCAAGCACTTCCATGCCATACTCCTCATCTCTTTGGCAATCTGTGCAGCCTTGCTAGGTTCATACATGGTGTGGACATTCCATGTCCCCACGTTTACTTTCGCTTTCATCGAGAGAGAGGACATATCGGCCAATTGGCTTCCCGAAGGCAGGCTTTCACCAACTGGTGTCATTCGTCTCCCTGATTCCAGCGAGGAATGATTTTATTTTTGTTTTTTATATTTTAATTGTGCTTTGAAGTTTGTTTAGCGATTGGATTGGTTTTCCGGGGTAGGGTTGGTAGCCCTATGCCCAACTTTCCCTCTTTTTCCGGGCTTAGGAGTGGTCAGTACCTAGTGAACTAGCTAACCAGGCGAGGTTTGGGATCACCATGCTGCGTGTTAATGAAAAAATGATACTTTTGGGGCCGACCTTTTCTATTCCCCAGTCCCCACAGGGAAGGCAGCAGTGTACTGCTGGTCATCCGAGGGAAACACTTCATCGCCGTCATACCCTTCCAGCCTGCAGTACCACTTCACCCTTAGAACCACACCACAGCGTAGCAATTTACACTATTCAACAGACTTTTCTGATATGGTAGGACCTTGAAGAAACAAGCTTTCCTCCAGCATAGGTCCTTGAGTCATTGTGATATGGAAGGCCGACCACCATAAGCTGTCCAACAATCCGCACTGACTGGAGCTATTGTCTCCAATGTCCTAGCATACCTGAAAGGTCTCTTAGATAGTGGTAAGACGTAAGGCAGTTACCGTGATAGTGTTAATTGCTACGCTATAGCGGGGGTCTGAGGGCGAGGTGATACTGTTGGCTGAACGGAATTTGAAAGCACTAAGGCCTTTCGCGGGAATGACGATCAGTGTAATACTGATCCTGCCTTTCCTATGGGAAAGGGGGGGGTGTAGGAAAGGTTGGTCATGTAAATAGTACACTTCTTCCTACCCCGCTGTCTCCTGGTGTTGGCGGTTTGGGGTTTTCTCATCCGCCCTTAGTACGACCGAATCTTGATCTACCAATCTTCAAAGGGCTGTGTATGAAAGGCTTTAAGCAGATGCTGCTTAGGCTTTGGAACTGTACACATCTTTTCCTTTTTCTCCTTCAGATCTTTTTGTCTGTACTGTTTACCGTCTATCGTGTAGTAAATCGTCTACGCTTTTGTAGTAAGTTGTAAGATGCAGTTGTTCTTCATTAATGTTCTTTCAAGACGGTACTGAAGTCAATAGGGATTGTACAATGAGACGACAGGTTGTAACCTACCATGCCATGGGGTGAAGCTTTTGTTAATTAGTCAAGGCACTTGACTTTCTGTGAGTAATTTAAACCTTATCTGCCCGTTTAGACAGATGACTTCCATATTTCGATATTCAGCAACATGTCTTAAGAAAAAGCGGAAATTTGAGGTATTGGCTTGTATTCTAACTTCCTAAGTAATATTCGTTTCAGTGGTGTATTGTTTTTCCAATTAATCGGTCGATGAGGTGGTTTGTCGCCTGTTAAATGCTAGAATTCATCAGGTATGTAAAAAAAGGAAGAAAAATTTGTCGTCAGCTATAAAGACGATAGTAGAGTGAGCTCTTACACTCATAATAAAAGCAAATATTTTACCACTATAATTTCAAGTTTTTTCTTGAAATAAGTAGATGCGAGATTGGTTATTGGCTGATAGCCAGAAATAACTGTATTCAGACCTTTGGCAAGCATGTATGACTTCGGGAAGTTTAGTATCCCTTGGACGTATGTGGTTTGATTGTATGTTCTTACACAAATGGTGCAGTAAGCGTATGAATTTCTCGTTCCTTTGGCTGCAATTCTTTTGAAGCTGTGGACTAGTGGTTTAGGTGCTCAGCTTTAAACCACTTAACTTAAAGACTCAAGCTCCGCTGCTCATACTTTGATTCAGACAGTCAGTTGGTGCCACTTAATCCTACACAACTTGTGGCTTACAGTATATTATCGAGTGTTTATCTGGTTACTTGGTTGGCCATAGATTTTACCGGTTTTAATTTTTGTGGTATGCTGGTCTTTTTCAAATGTAAGCCTAGTTGATGTAGTCTATTTTCCTGCCATATGTACACATCTGATGAAATCGTTTAAAAATGCCCTCGAGTTGTTGGCTTAACCAAAAATGTCAGTTACTGTGTAAGTCATTTATGTTGGGATGTATTTGGCTTGTAATTTTCTTATTTGTCACGATTGTATCCATTAGGTACCGATAAGTTCATGGAAAATTTGTCTCCATAGACATTTGATGTTTTTTATTATTTGTAGAAATGTTGATGGATTGTCCTGAGCCGGATTTGATTGTTTTGTAGATGAAATTATTTACACCCATGAATCTCCCTGCACTAAATAGAAGTGGTTTAAAACTAGTTCATTGTTGCAGAAAGGGGAGCTTAAAATATATGCTAATATCAGAATCTATTTTAGGTCATCAGTCTTCAGCAATCTGACTCTGAAACTATCTGTGTAACGAATGGTGTGAAGTTAAGGATGCAGAATAATACTAGACCGTTAATTTAAACATGCGTTTTGGGAAACATTAATCCTTTTTAAATGTATTTGAAAAACTACCAGAGTCACTTCCATTCTGTAATAAGTTTCTTCAGTATATTTCATTCATAGTTGTGGTTCACTGGTGTAGAGAAAATCATTGTCATAAGCCTAACTCACACTTGACCTTCTGTCTGAGTATCAAAGTAGTAACACCCTACAGTAGATGTGACTTACAACCTGGTGCAGATGTTGAGTTGTGGTAAAAATACTTATTTTGGTATATTTCAGGGATTTGATCGTTCGAGCAGTACTGTTCATTTAAGCACTGAATTTATTCCATAATCTATAACTTCATCTTGTCAAATGCATTAATTTCCTATTTTGTCAGGATGATTCATTTCATTTAGCAGTTGCTTGTATAAATGTAGAAAATTTTTTGCAATATTAGTTCATGTTTATTATACTTTTTCGTTTGGCTAAACAAATTAGTTTCATCTTCGGTTCTGAAAACTTACTGGTTCCCAACCGTCAGATAGAAGCCAATGTGTTCAGTTGTGGCTCATTAGTTTAGGGAGTTGACTTTCAATCAGTGGGTTGCGCTTTTAAACATCGCTTCACCTACCGAGGTTTGGACAGTCAGGTAATATCATTCGCCGTAAGACGGTAGGTGTGGTTCATTGCCTACTGCACAAATGTACACAAGGTTTCTGAGTGCATTTAGATTCGACGTATTGAGGTTTAGTTTCAGTGAATAATTTCTAAGTGTGTAGTCTTAGTGTTCTAACTTTAACGAGTTAAAGCCGTTTCCAGTTACGCAAGTATCAATACGGTAGTAAAAAGGGTATTACAATGATAACGTCATTTGTCGCTCTACTTTTAGTCTTCACACATCATTTATAAAAAGTTGTGTAATATATTTTTGTCAGTTTGGATTCATAATTTTTTTTTTGGAATTTGTTAGTGACTACTTTGAACGTACTATTCTGGTAAATAGTATGACATGGACTTGTTCCGTGTGTAATCGAGGACCTTCAACTTATAAAGAAGCAATAGCCTGTGAACGTTCGGATTATAGACAATTGAGTGCTTTCGATAATTCTCTGGCTTCTGGATTGCTATATATAATAGCGGGTGCACGAAAACAGAGACTACCAGAACTTGTTGAATTGATATGTGGGTTCGCGAGTAGTCGGTTTTTCGTTGGTGAAGAGATTGAATTCCAGGTTGCTGACTCAAAGTAAGTTTCACTATGCTCTCGAAATGTGTAGACTTTTTATGTGACATATTAGCTATTTTTACCAAGTTGATAATAAACTCGTCTTTCAATCAAGGGTAGTGACTAGAGGGTGTGAGAAAGGCAGAAGTAACATCCACATTTTATCAAGCATTGTCAAACGTGGGCGTAATAGACAAATAATATATTGATTATTGCACATCTGATATAGTATGGTGAGTTCATGAAACTGCGTGTTATAAACTTCTTTACTTCGAACCGGGTAGATTAGTACAAGCCAACTGTTCATTAAATATATTTATTGGATAAGTCTTAATATTATCCCCATTTTTTTGAGCAGTTTTCTTCCAACTTGCAATTTCGTAGTATTCACTCGTAGGGATATTGTGAATGGGATTGCGAAGACAGTACATGTTGTCGTGGCTCAGTCTAGTGGCCACTGCGCTGTTCAGGTTTCATTCAAAGCTGATCACCATACTAGATTTGTATACGTCTGAGCTTTTAATCTGATAAACTCAGTTATTGTAGTACAGATGTTTCTTTATCCTTAGTATACCAATCATATACTGTGTTATGCAATTAGTATTGATTCATGCTTATGATTTTACAATTTTAGTGTTCGATCCTTCGGTGTTATCGACCGCGTGGTTTTGTCTCAAAAGAGAAACCAGTTTGAACATGTAAGTAACAGCTTTTGTAAGCAGGAGTTTTTGTATTAAAAGTCGATTATGATGAAAGTTGCTCAGTGAATTCGTTGTTCGTTGTGTAAGCATAAGTTCATGTATTCAAAAGTACTTCATATATTCTGACCTGGGCCATTTACTGATGTCCAACTTAGAAGTACGTAGGCCTATGTTAGGTTACTGAGTTGCATTAATTCTCAAAGTAATTCATCACTTTGCATTACAGTTAAATTTTAGGTTATGGTAGTTTTTGACTGTCTGCACTGTATAATGATGATAATGCATACATAATTATATGCTTTAGTGTCATACTTATATTTACTCAGTTGTCATACATATATATTCTTATTGTTACTACATCTTTGTTTAACAGAGTGGAGTACTGACAGATTCAGATGTTCAGAAACCTGCTTTTCTTGATGCACTAAAACTCCACTATTGTGTGAGGGAGCACAAAAAACCTGATGGTACAAATCATATATCTGCTAGTGTTTTAGTTCCTGGATCTATTATTCATCGTCGTAACCGCAATGTGTTAGCGAGGGATCACATCAAGTTTTTTATCCGTCATACATGTGAATTAAAAAATGGAATTTTCACTCCCAAGGTGACTTTCAAATGTTTTCATGTTCACTGAAACTTCATATACTCATTAACTATTTTTCTTTCTGATGCGAATGATTCCATGCCATTTTGTTAGCATTGAAGCTGCGTTATGTTTTTGGGGCATGCACTGTTGGGAAAGTTGCATTATGAGATGCTTTACAGATTGAGATGTGTCTACACAGCAATTTCCTTGACTTATTAAAGTTTACTATTAGACCTAGTACTGTGATTTTTTATGCCTTAATTGATATCTCATCATCGGAATATCTTTGGAGGTTATTTCTGTGATATAATTACTGTTATTGTTCCAGTTCCTGATGCTACCTACTTTTGCAAATGCTTTTGTAAGTGAATAATTTGGATTCGCAATATACTTTTTTAAGTAGTTGTTTTCGCTGCACGGATATACGACCACACTCTGCAGCGTAAGGAAACAATAAACCTTGAAATGTCTTTCTTATTACTGCTTCATCTTACAGTCTTTTGGACAACATTTCACCTATGGATCATACATTCATTGAAATTTTCGAAAGATCATCAGTGTTAGCAGGCTAATTCTGTCAAATTATTTGTTGTTTTACTTGGTTTTTTTGTCTTGTCAGATTTTAAAAGTTAATCGAGATAAGAGATTTTTCACTGAAGCATGAACACCTCATATTTTAAGAAAGAATATTAGTATATTTCGGTTTAAAACAGCAAATGTTTTATCCACCTTAACTTCTGCTTCATATGCTATCTGCTTAAAAAGTACGAAGTATATTGTCAAATTTAACGTGAACTAATTTCACATTTTTTCTGGGTAGTGTAAACAAAACTATGCTTTGTTTTAGAGCTTCAAGCTATACATTTAAAAAAAATCTAAGTGAAACAAAATCTGAAATTATATTTCGCCACAATGATTATTCGTATCGCTTCTTTGTAAAATTTAGTGGAGAAGCAGTTATATCATTTTCTTTTTTTTTCTATCATGCCGATTTCGAAAATGTAGACTTCAATTATGCAGCGTTATAAGTTGTATCCATATGGACCTGTCACATGGGCTAAACTATTTTGCCTCCAGAACCTCGTTGGTCTGAGCTTACACCCGCACCTCCGCGTGAGTTTTAAAGTTATCTTTTGGCATGTATTACTTTCATGTCATATCATTTGTAATCCTATTTTGTTTTGTTACTTTTCGGTCTGTATATTGCAGCGGTGGTTGTGTAGGATTATTATGGTACCTAATAGCGTATATTTTCTAAGTTTCTGTACAAATGCTCTCACTGGAGTATTATTACACTTCATCTCTTCGTTGCGGATCGTGTGCATTTCCTCTATTCTGTTGTGCATTGATCCCGTTTCTGTTGCAACAAACACATACGGTTCGGAGAAAGATACAGTAAAAATAGTTGTATTTGGCCTAAGAAGTGTATACTTTACTGAAAATCACTTTGCTATAAACTTTTAAGCTTGGCTTTAGGGTTACCAAACTCATAACCGTTTGAAAAGTGTGTCGCTTCGTTTAAATTTATGCTCAAATGAAAGATGAAAATTTTATTCCATTTCTCAAACCACTATATTAGGTGGTTTATTTGATATAGGACACAGTGACAGTATAATTTACTGAATGGTGTTTTGATCAGAATATATTGCTTATATTCATATCAAAGTAACCATATGACTTTCAAACCTCCTTTATATAGTCCAACAATTCTTCATTCATCTATTTTAATGGTAGTAAAATTTTCCATATATCTACAATATGTGATAATCATTCTTGTTACATGTGTTAAGTGTAGATTCAATGTACAACGATTCTGTGATCAATCTCTCCCTCCACCTAGCTATATGGGATTTCAGAATTTTTATCCTATCCCATCCTATAATATGATTATGGGTCAGTGCATACAGAACAATAGCCGAGTTTTTCTTTAGATTATTTATCTTAGTGTAGGGTCTACCCATTGTATGTTTCGCTAAATTTTTTCGTGTTCTCTTCTGACTGACCCAGATTGGCTACTTTGACCTACCTACTTAACCTCACAATCGTTACATGCTATTTCATAGATTAGGTTATTTTCCTTAATTAACTCTATTGAATCTTTTACCCTGTAAAGTTTCTGTCTGAGCGAGTTTGTAGGTGTAAATGCCATCCTAATCCCAGGATTGTTAAGGATTCTACGTAAAATTTCCGATGTATATTCTTCATACGGCAACACTGAAGAGGATTTGAATTTCCTCTTAGGCATGTTACAGTCATCACTAACATTACTACTTTCTCTTATCAGTCCAAGTTTTTTCCTTACATCTCAAACCACTACTTTGTGAGTTTGAAAAAACCCATCATGTTTACTAAGACGGGGTCATATTTTCTTCCTGAATACGTTTTTGTAAAAGATCTCAAATGATTTATGATCTTTGCTTTCTGGAAGATTCTAGATGTTTATCCTGCTATCTTTTGTGAATACATATGCTATAAGTAAAAGATGTGTAGGCCAAATTATTTTGTGTGGTTTTGGGACATTATTGAGGCGTTGCGATTGTTGAATTATGTGACATATAAAGCATAGATTGCTATTTTTAATGTTATAAGATATTGAACTTTATTGAAAGATATTTATATCACCTTTGGAAGTGTAAGAAGATCAGTATGAGCAATGGTTGATGAGCTTTTAAACTGTGAAAGTTACCAAAACTAGTTAAGCATCGTATTTAGCGTCTCAAGTCTAAGACATACAGTTGTCTTTAGATACCAGCGTACATTACAAACCGTTAATTGTGTCATGAAGACTGCCGTCAATAGAGAGAGGGTTTTGGAGTCTTGTTTACTTACTAGTTTGGTGGAAGCCTTAGTGATTAAAAAAGAAATTAACGCGCAGGTTATTACGCTGGAGTTGAATTTTGATGAAATACTCAAAGGAAATTTCCCAATTTGACAAGTGAAAATATATGATCAAAGAAATAAATGTAGGTCAAATAGTCGTTATTTCAATCTCCTCTTGTCCAAGTTTTTAATTTATTCAGGTGATATGGGGGCTTAACTACTAAATTTGCGTTTTTTAACCGTTTCATATAGCCCGTACAACGTGACTAGCAATCTGTGTTCAGTGCACTTTAAGCACTTTCATGTTAACCCAGTATTTTTCATTCCTTATTTTGCAACGAACAGAAGTCTCGATAAATCGAACTGTAGCCAGCTTCCCAAAGGAATCTAATCGTCCTCTCTGTCAAGGTTTCAAGATTATCGATACTTTTGTGGATGATAAGTCTAGTCGAGGCCAATCAAAGTTGTCGGGAAGCGTTCCTGGTTCTACTACTTTTAAGCATAATATGACTCCATCAGCTGGAACAACAACTCGTGTACAGTATTTTGAACCTCTCAGTTTTCAGTCGCAAAAAGTTCTTTATCAACAGACACATACAATAATGAGTGGTGCACATACAATGAATGGTTCACTTAGTAAGTACTTGTATTAAGCTATTACTATACGATTCACTAGAACTGTTATTTACCCAAAACTGTGATAAATCTTTTCTGCCTTTTTTGTGCGCAATATTACCTTTGTGTAAGAAATATTGAAGTAAACCTTATTCTGTAACATAAAGGATGTTATCAAACATTTTATTCAAGTTTTAAAGTTTGCAGCGCTGTGTTCGGAAATTTACAAATTAAACTAATTCATACTTCTTAGATATTTCACTATGTACAGGTAAAAACCGTATACTTTATTTTCACAATTTTAATGAAACACAAAATAATTTTTCATTGAATTATCTGACAAATGTTTCATAAACCTAGTTCATTATTTATTTCGTAACGTGTTCTATAGTGATTGAAGAAAGGTTAACATGTTATTATCTTTCATTTTAAATAACTAGGTTTCCAGTATTTTAGGTAGGTTGTTAAGTTTGTAAAGTGCTGCTTTTGTCCCAGGAATTTATCGTACTGCACCGGTATTACGCTGTGTTCAATGGAGTGTTCACGAAAAGAATTGAAATCCACGCAGCAACGTTGTGCACATTCATGCAGTAGGTAATGAGTCACACAGATTATGCGTGGACTAATGCTAATACTTCCTGGCTGTTCAAACTTCTGTAGGTGGACGGGTGTGTACGAACCCGTGACTCATTGGTTGAAAGTCATCTTCCTAGATCAATTAGCCATAGCTACACACTGGAGTGCTCTAATGCACTTGGTTTGGGTTAGATGTGTCCGTAGCTGTTCTTCACTGTCGGTGCTGTCGTTATTCTGATCTCCGTTTTGTTTATTGCTTCTCGTCCTATCGTAAGTTCTAAGCCGTAGAAACTGAAACCAGTATGTCATTTTGCGGAATCTTTTTTAGTAACATTGTGAATTCCTGGTATCACCTGACAGCTTGTTGGATATGTTTTCTATCCTGATTGGCTATCACGTTATGGTCAATTAACCTAACACTTAAAAGTGCATCTCTAGAAGCGTAAAATGCATAACAACTGTTTTTCTTATTATCAAAGGCACTCTGTGGTTAAATGTTCCTGAACTGTTCATCGGATTTTAGACTAGTTTCGTATGAGAACTGTCTAAAATTTCTCAGGCATCCTTTAACTTCTCAGTTGCTTACCGGGATGGGGTGTAATTTCTTACGGGAACTAGATTCTTTTGGGTTTAGTGAATCTAAAAGGGTGGAATAAACCGGTCTTCCCCATTCGGTATAACTATATTCAGACTGAACATAATAATCCCACTATGCTTATAATATACGTTTAAAAAGCTTGTTTTATTTCAATTTGAAGTTCTCTTTGTTTTTGGTGACACTGAAAAGCAGTTAATAATCGACAGAACACCATCACTTTCTATTTTTGAACATCTCTGCATGTGATCGAGTCAAACTAGATGTTTCCCCTCAAGCTTTCCAGCTTACTCAGCCCCAAACATTTCACTTGCTGAAAGTTATTATCATGGGATAGATTCTAGTCGGTCGAGATCCTACTGCATGTTGTGGTTTAGTTCTATAAATTCGTAACGTAAATAACAGTTTCATCTCTTGATATATCCATTGACTGTCGGCCTTCTTTTCCTGTTTTTTTTTAATCTGGCTCTAAGTGGGATCTTTTCGCTAGTGATTGTGACATACTTTCTCATTAGTATATATAACAATGACATGTCATCATAGTTCATTCGAGTTTCGTGTTAAATAGGTATCTTTTTAATACTAGTATCTCGTTGACCAAGTAGTATTACCGAGACTGTCCTGTTGCTTCTGTTCACTTACTGGTTAGGAAAGCTAATGTAAGGTAATGAACGAGGATTGATGATATATATTCTGTTTCCGTTTTAGATCAGACCTTACCGTTATCCACTTGCGATTTACCCCGTTCACTAAAAGTTGAAAGAAATGAATTGGAAAAGGAATGGAGTATGGTACGTCGCCGCGAAGACCTGGAATTGTCTGATTTGGTACCTTTACCAGAGTTTACCAAGGTGAGAAGTTTCATTTGTCAAAAATACTATACTCATTTCAGTAAAAGGCATCTCTATTATTCTCTATATCTACTGATATTGATGAGATCTTTTTTGTAATGAAAACTACATGTTTCTTACGTTAACTTGTGTTTTCCTGTGTCATTTTTTCTCAGTTCCCTAGCTCACTGTCTCCGGATGATCTTGGTTCAGCCATACAATTACTCGAATTTTTTCATGTATTCGGGGCGTATATTGGATTGGTTGTTCCACGTACTAGTAAATCATCAGAGTTGAATAGTACAGCTCTTGAACGTTCGACCTTTCCTCTTTCCTGTTCTTCACTTACATTGTCTGTTTTGGAAAGTAGCCTTTTAGAGTCTGATCCTTGTGGTCCACTGGCTGATTTCTTCATCACTATGTTGTCTACCATACGACGACTAGAAGTAAGTCTTTTCACACGGAGCTCGTATTGAAGATATCTGTCTAATTATCTTTTCAAAGCATGTAATTGTTTTGCGTAGAATTTATTTTGTGCCATTAAAGCAATTAGCTTGCTACATCTGGAGAGCGTAAAGGGATGTAACTTACACAATGGTGTTATGTTGTGATCTGAGGATAACAAACTTAAAAATTAGTGAAAAAAGAAAGAAGATAAATGGTGAAACATTTGTTTGGTGTTACTGATCCAACTACTCACCAGTAGCTCATGTTTTGATACTCTTATCTCTGTTTTTCTCTAGTTTTTTGGTTGATCTACTTAATGCTTCAACCGGTAGCCATATTGAAATGATCATTTTTGCCTATTGTTAACTGTAGCCTCTGTGTTTTACTGTTACGCAGCCTAGGATGTGAGTCTGCATTTCAAATGAATTGTTATTAGATATGGAACCACTTATTATTATCAGAAAACAAGACAGTCTTCTGGTTGAAAGCGACTCTCGATTGTGTAATATCTAGGTAAGGCTAACAAAGAGCAATGTAATTGCTACTGACTTCATTCTCGAGTTATACTTGATAAAGTTTAACATGATTAAGTCTCGTGAACGCGAGTTTATCCAGAGACTTGTTAAGTATAGATAGAGGTTAACATAGAAACGTCCTACTTCATAAGTCAACCTCTTCATTTATATTGTAAATTGGCTATTTTACTTTGTGTATATCCTCAAAACCTCATGTTTCATGCTTAGCAAACGAAAAGCTGAATAATTCTGATATCTTCTATGAATTTTGTTATTATTGTGATCTACACTGAAGTATTTCATTTTCAATTTCCTGTTTTCCTAAGGTACTTTTGTTAGTTTACTCTATTCCACTTGATCATGAAGGTGAATAAACAATATCATGTTTTGTAAAACTTATTAGTTCATGTTATAAAGTAGTTTAACATCAGTATTCATAGAAGTTCATTATTCATTGCGTGTTGTGCTTCATGTACTGTTTAAGGAACTTTTTATTACCACAGTTTCATGAAATTTTCCGTATAGTATCAACCTATCAACCTGAAATTGTGATCTATGATCTTGCTGTTTTCCTCAACAGCTATCTATCTATGCTGTGCTATTGTATTTGCCTCATTCAGCTCATGAAGATGTTCGTCTTATATATAATATCTTTGTCTTTGGTATAATACAATAACAGAGAGGTGTCCCTAAAAAAATGTAGTCACTGATACTCAAAGCACAAATGTAATGAGCAAATAGTGTAACTCCTTCTTCGCGGTTAAAAATCCATGAATAGTTTGAGAAATGTACAAAATCTACAAAATTGTAGAAAAAAATGATTGATTTTAAATGTGTGATTTATTCACACTGTATACTTTAAACTGTTGTATAAAACTTTCCTATTGGTCTGTATGCAGTTATTATACTGCGTATCTACTTTGACTTTAGTGCAGTAACGTAACTGCTGTCAGTGAATCATAACATCCACTCCATTAGGAAAGATAGTGAATGTGTTTAATAGATTTTAGATGACAGAATTTTTGTTATGTTGATTTAGATTAAATGTAAATTGTGACAATTTTTATAATCTAGCTTGAAGCCAGTTCTCGTCAGCCAAATCCAAATGCTTCTGCAGCCACTATCGCTGCAGCTTCGGCTGTTGCCGCTGCTGAGGCTGGATTCGCTGTGAACACGCAAGTTTCTCATGTGTCCGGTACGGGTATTGATTACAGTTCTCTTTACGATGAAGATTCTGCAAGTCCTGAGGATAGTGCTCTTTTTCGTGTACTGCGAGAAGCTGGTACGTCAACTCGTTTATGTGAATTAGTTGGAATACCAACTCAAGCAGCTACAATTGCTGCCGGAAAGGCTGCTGTAGCTGCTTCTGTAGCTCTAAACACAACGGGTGGAACTGCTGTTAAAGAAGATATTTCAGGGAGTTCATCCTCAGTATGTCTAAATGCAGTTAGTCGAAATTCAGTGACGCGTGCTGCGACAACGGCGGTTATTGCTGGGGCTGCATCGTTACCACCTCTAGATCGTGCTGGTCTTACAGAAGCTCTTTGGTTGCATATAACCAGTGCAGCTGCAAAAGGTGGAGGTTGGCGTGGTCAGATTTGGGGAGGTACGCGACCACTCGATGACCCTTCAGTTATGCTGTCTCGAAGCAATGTGGGCTTAGTTGAAAAACTAAAAACAGGTGAGTAATAGCTGTTATCACTTTTAGATTCTACTGTGAATATTGATGATTTTAACAATTTTTTCACCTACTCTAGAGATCTGTTGTATCAAATTTTCTGCAAAGGTGATTACATCAAATTGTTTATAGCTTACTATCGTATTTATGAATAAGACAGTACAGCTTTTGTAAACGTGATATTACGAAGGGGATTTTATCATGGTGTTTTTATGTTGTAAAACTTAGTGTCCAAAATGTATTATTGAGTTTTTAGAATTAAATTTCGAGTGACAAATATTGTGGTTTAGCTTTTCATCAGATGTACATTTCTGCTTAACATCAAATGAATCTTGTAAAATGAATGATACTTCCTCAGTTCTTTATCATAGTTAAACGTAAATCAATGTGCTAAATATTAGGATACCAGGAAAGTTCAAGATTGAGAAAATCACTTAATTTCATTTGTCATGAAATTGAGTTAAAACAAAGCGTATTTCTGAGCTGTGAATATTTTATGTATGCTGATTCCATACTGAAATTCATTCTACAAATGAATTGACTAGTAACTTTTGTTCTTCCTATTGATTCAGTTTATAGTTTGAAAGTAATTTTTTTTTCCATAGTTGAACTCACTTATTTTTAAAAGTCTTAATTTCTGTATATATACATGTACAAATGACTTTTCTTGAATTTGTTTGGTTTCAGTATCAGTTTATGAACTAACTCCACATGAAAAGTTAGTCTTGCTAACCAGTTTAATGGATGAGCTTTTACTTCAACCTCAAATTCGGGAACGTATGGAAGATCAGTATGAACGTGTACGTTTGTTACGTAATCAACTGCGCACTGTACAAGCTGATAGGTCTCAGTTGGTTAGCTCCAATTTTGTCACTGATGAAGAGCAAGAAGTTTTATCTCATATGAAGAAAATAAGTGCAACAAGTGATGGACGTGCCCATTCTATCCCTCTCAGTCTTAAAGGGAGAGTTAACCGAGGAAGAGGTCGTCCAGTAGGTCGTAAGAACACTCAACCGGATTCGCTCATCACTCCTTTGGAAACGTACTTGTCAAAGTAAGTACTTTTTTTCTTTTTCTTGTTTAGTTAGTGATTGAGTATTTCAGTCTCATGAAAAAAACAGCTACTGGTCCCACGGATTACCTACTCATTTACGAGGGATAATCCGTATTATTCTACAGCATTTTGTTATTTATTTCAGTGAATTTTAACTGGAAAGTGTTGATCTAATGTATGCAGAAATTAACTCGATTTGAAATCTTCCTTCGCTTGTTTGACTGGGATCATTTTGTTAATAACTTCTCCACTTCAAAGTTCGATTTTGTTTTTGGTGCATATATATAGCATGTTTGATGCCATGTATAACACGTATTCAGGTTTCCGGAGTTTTCACCATCTCTTTGCAACTGAATTGAGCTCCCATTGGAAAAATTTAGTGTTGTTCTTATGCAGTCGTTTTAAGTTTCTGAATTAAAATCTTGTACTATAAAAAGGTTCGAATTATTCATGGGTTCTTTTTCACCTTGTTTTCGTACTGTATTCTGCACTTAGTGTATATGTTTTCCCTTGTTATCCTGAAGCTAGTCAGAAATAGTTGTATGATATTACTTTAAGTGGACCAGCAAACTGAATCATTAAAGCACTTATATTTGTTCCATGATAAAGATACTTCGTGCTCGTTTCGTTTCATTTTTGACTTGATTTAGGGAAGTTTGTATTTTCGACAGTTAATTGGAAAGAATTAAAATATGTATATTGTGGATTTCTTTCCAAGAAATTTGGAATCAAAGCAACAATAAACCAAACGCTCGAGTTACGCCTGAATTCAAAACATAGGATTTATCTGAAATGCGGTTTTTTTATGAGTAAACAATGGTGAATAGTAAATTACAGACCTGGAGTAATGAGCTATCCGTGGGTTTATTACTATCCAAGCAACTCACGGAGAGTGCATCAATAGTAAAAACAGCAAGGTTGTGTCCAATCCAAGCTAAAAGGGAATATAAAAGACGCATGTGTCCCGCAATAAAGGCACGAGATAAACAGGGAACAGCAAGAGGAATCTCAACACCATTATGAACCGGGAAGGGTACTGATATCTTGGGATGTTAAATGATGAACAAGATGCAATTGACTGAACTGTGAAGTTGTGAACAGAGTAACTTTATAGGAAAATACGAATCATACTACTCAGTAAAACTAAGTAATATGAAACTGATGGCATAAAAAGGTAAATGAGGGCAACGTCGCACATGGTAAATAAGGACAAGTGAGAAAGGAATTAATATATATATATATATATATATATATATATATCCGGTGGTGATGGTCGTGTTTCTTTTGAAATTTTTCTTGTAGCAATGATTATACAGTAATCAATCAAAAAACAAATCGTTCGGATTTCGATACTGCAACATCAGCATCTTCTGCATCTCTACAGTTAATACCATTCATGAAAAATTAGCGGAATCATTATTAGAAGAGCAGAAGCTATTGGATGCTATTACTCAGGTGTCACGAGGTTGTTCGATGGTACCTCTCGGTCAGGATAGGTTTTATCGGTGAGTAGTAATTCAGTGATAATTTGTGTTTACATATTCTATTTGTCCGACAATTGGTATTAAAGTCCTATCCCATGACCAAGTCAATTATTCAACGTATCAAGTGTATTTGTGGTTCCAAATATTCTTTGAGTTGCTGAAGATGGTGATATATTAACTCACTAGATGCAGTTAGTACCAAAAGCATAGAAATACTGTGTAGAAGTTATCACTTTTCCACGTGCGTTAAGTTGGCTAAATACCACTTCGCTAGTTTTCATTAATTCATCTCTAGTTTTGGAGAAAAAAATATTTTTCCAACTACAATTTCCTCTTAATTGTAAGAATTAACATTTTATTTTCAGTTGAATGGCATCAGTGACATTTAGATTATCTATATCCCACTCTGTTACCCATTTCGTACCTATTTAGTAGATTGTTCACGAAATCAGTTTGTTAGAGACCCTGAAATGTATTTCATCTTTGGAACCTTGTTAAACACAAATTATAAGGTTTTAAGATTAATTATAGTAATCTGTAATATAGAGCTGCCAACTTGCATCATTTGTGGCACCGGCGGGATACGCGACCACCTACCAAAAGACCAGTATACTGCACTGTAGTCCGTTCTGTCGTATGGGACATGGCCGTTATAAGTAGAAGACATGAGACGGTTGAAGCGTTTTGATCATAGCTGTCTTCATAGCATTGCTCGCGTGTGGTAGAATTACCGTGTGAGCAATGTTGAGGTCAGTCAGGCGAAGGATACTAGGCAGGACAAGCAAGTCGATTGATGAAGTTGTAAACCTTAGTCTACTGAGTTAATTTAGACATGTGTTGCACATGCAGAGCTACCACCTATTCGATGTGGCATGCTAAGGGAAGCTGGAATAAGTTGGGAAAGGGTTCAGGATGACCAGATTAATACATAGCACCTGTCGATGAAGTATTTGACTGTTAGTCTGAGTCATGTGCGGGATGTAGACTGCGTGACTGGGGTCCCCGAGACGAGAGGAACCAGCGGTTGAGAACTTATATTGACACAATTGAAAATCGGTCACAATGGCGTAGATGTATTCACTCATCGACATCTTCTAAAGCTTGAATATTTGCACCATCCGTTATCTTCAGATTGTTTATTCTTTCACATAACTTTATCTACTTTGATATCACTCCTTTTCAATCCGCCTATTTCTCATGTACTACTATGGAGTGTGGCAATGCATGTGTTTGAGGTTCTACGTTAATTTTGTCAATTCACTGACCTAGGTTGTCAACTTTCAATCAGTAATAGGCCAAAGGGTCAAATGCTGGTTCGCCTATCAGAGTTTGGATGGTTAGCTAGTATCATCTACCATCATACGGTGGGTACAGTTCATAGTCTGTGGAGAAAAACCACACTTGGTTGGAGAGTTGCAACAGGTAATGTTGCTTACAGCGTTAAGTAAGGTCTAGGATTCTGTAAGTCGACCACTGTAATGCAGTCAATCCATGCAAAAGCAAGTTGGTATATTACGTTATCTGAAGAATGCCCTTTGGGTGATAAACACAACTAACCAATTTACATGCTTCATCGAGACATTCATTACCGTGCTGCTTACAGTAACTTAGGTGATGACCAATAAATTGAGTCGTATACCTTTACAACTATATCAAGACTGATAATCAGCGAGATGGTTTGGAAGGATATATAATCAGCGGGTATACAAACCTATAAAAACTGTAAAAACTTTTAGTTTTGCTATATTGATAACAATCAAAGCTGTTTTGAGCACATCTCAGCTATTCAATTTTAAATCGTAAATGTATTTCCATATCTAAGGTATTTCATCAGTTCAGATGTTGATTATGCTTTTGAATTCTATTATTTTCACATTTTGCAGGCAATATTGGCTAGTCATGTCGATACCATGTATACTAATTGAAGATTGCTCTTGTACTGATAAAAATCCGTACTACACTCATGCTACTATTCGAAATCGTCAAATTGTATATACATATCCTGAACTTGCTAAAAGAATGGGTCTTAGTAGTCCTGAAGATGCGTGTAAACGCTTCCGAGAGGCAATCTGTTTTATCAAAGATAATGAATCTGTAGATAGAGAAGAATTAACTTTTCGTATTGCAGCAACTATACCACATCAGTCTTCTTCCTCAGGAAGCTTACCATTGGAACAACTAAGAGCTCTAGTAAAACCGGTAAGTATTTTAGCTTATTTGTTTATTATCGCATAAGTTGTCATTTTAGATCCCATACGGAGAAGTTACAGTATTTTTGGGGAGGAAAGTAACACGGAGTGAGAATTACAGATTGACGGAAATGTATATTTTGTGTTATTGTCTTGTTATCTGTTTAAAGGTCGAATAAAAGCAACCATTGAACTACTACTGATGATTACTTTTTTTTTGTGCAATGCTTTTATAACTCCAAAACTTCCATAGATGTTTAACTTTAAGCAGTAGTACTGTTTTGTATCCGTCAAACAATATCTTTATTCTCTTTTACTTGCAGGAACGTGTCGGTATCCATGATTCAACTTCGCATAACACCTGTCCTGTAGTTAGCCAGTTAGCTAAGTTACGATGCTCTGCTGCAAAGCAGTCAGCACCCAGCACTGTTTGGTCAGTTCTTCTGCCTGATAGATACAATGAATTGTGTCAAAAAAACTGCTAAATACTAGGAATCGTACGGCCAACTCTACATTAAACTCAGGACCCAGTTCTTCCACACTTGATTGTTCTTCCACAATAGCTGTTAAATCAGAAGAGTGTGCCAATGATAATGTCATAACTTCTAATGAATCGAAATGTAAAAAACATATTTCTAATGATGATGATAACGAAAGTTTGTCGACCAAAAATGATGAGACCGATTTGATTGAACGTGCCAAATGGACTGTTGATTGTTTAGAAGCGTCTTTAAATCCTCGTGGTGTTCGAGAATCTCGTCTGCGTAAAACTATTGGTCAGTTACGACCCTTGCTTATTAAAGTAGTTGCTATGTGTCCACTTGAACTTATTTGTTCACTGAACAACAATAATCCTTCAGGATTAGATGACAAGGTAATAGTCGACTTACCAGTCATTTGTTTTTTAATTTAATTTCTGTCATATATGTAACTTAATCATTAATGTATTATCGCAAAAGTTATCCCCAGTATTAGTGATTATTGACGTTTCATGGTCGTCGAGATGACATTATTCTCTCTTTGATAGTCTGGTTTTTTCCTTATGTTTCGATTCAGGTGACGTTGAACGGGCTAATAGTGGGATTTTTAGTCGCACTTAATGTGTAAGAACATAGATTCAATGATCTATCAGCTAGATTCAAATTTTGTTTATTTTGAACCATGTTATCTGTATTTTGCTGTCACTTTCTCAGTATTCGGATGAGTGACTCAGTTTCCGAAAGGATTTAGCTATTAGATAATTCAAGTTGAAGAGTCTGGTTTTGTTCACATGGGGTTTTAGCTAATGATGAGTCGTGTTTATTTATTTATTCTGCTTCTTTGATTTTCTTGAAGGATGGTTTAGTTTTGCATTGTGGTAATCTCATTAATAGTTTGATGTTTCTATTCCTTTCAACTCCTAGATAGCAGTTGTTCCTCAAAACACACCTGTTTCAACCGAAAGTGCTACTATTACTGATGAAATGTGTCGGAGTGAGAAATCACCTGAATCGATTATGTGTTCGTGGTTGGAGACAGCTCTTGTTGGTATTGGATATCGTCTGGGTCGTCTGAATTTGATAAAGGACTTACTTTTCGATCGAGATTATAAGCCTAAGGAAATTCCGTCTGAGGATCAAGCTGAACTAAAACAAGCTCCTACAGAAATCCCTCCGAACAAGTAAGTTTACACTAGTTGTTCCAAGCATTACCCATATTTAATACATCTCCTCTCGAACTATTTCGCTTATATGAGCATATGTTACTTAATCATTTGTAAGTAGTGTGCAGTAGAAGCTGAGAAATACAAAGTTATTTGCCTTGAGATTATGTTCACCTACAGTACCTTACAATTCCTAAAATTTGTTGTTTAGCTGAAAAAAGCTCACTATGCGTGCGGAAACGGTCGATGCAGCAAAAAGTAGTGATGCTGATCTAATGGAAGTATCAAAATCGATAAAAGATATGATAGCAATGAATAAATGGGAAGGAAACAGTCACATAAACGTTCTTTAGAAAAGTTTTTGTTAATCTTTGCTTGGTTTACTATCTGTGTTGAGATTAGGGATGGCTAAGACCTGTTTTTTTTGTGAAACCGATTCCGTACAAATGCACTAACATCTTGACCCACCGAGTCTAATCAGTACTAGTATTCCTTCAAAATGAATCATTACTGTTCATTGAATTTTAGAATAACAGCTATCTGCCAGTATCTTATCACTAAATCACAAAATGAATCAACTATCATTGTTTTGTTCCATCTAGTGTCGGGGTTTAAAAGCAGTTCATCATTATGGTGACTTTTGTAAAGTGTATCTAAGTCCGTTGTCAAATGACGAATGAAACAGGGTTGAAAAAGAGTTTCAAACACAGATAGAATCAGCGTAGAACCTCGCACACAAGGTGACCGGTTTGAGTTGACATACTTCATAGAAATATGCAATGAACAAGTAGATAAGAAAAAGTGATGTCAAAATAGACAAAGTTGTGTAAAAGAATAAACATTCTGAAGATAAAGGTTAGTGCTAGTTTTCAAGCTTTAGAGGATGTCAATGAGTGAATGCATCTACGCCATTGTGATTGGTTTTCAGTTGTTGCTCCAAGAGTTATCAGCCACTGATTCCTATCGTTTCGGGGACCCAACCAGACAGTTTCCATCTCCCTATTCGACTCTGACTAACATTAAGAGACTTCATCAACTGGTGTCACGTCTTTGTCTTGTCTCTCTGAACTCTCTCCAACTTATTCCAGTTTTCCCTAGCATCGTACACTAATGTAGGCGGTGGCTTGGCATACAAAGTAAGTGTCCAAGCCGTCCCAGTCGATTAAGTTTGCAACCTCACCAAACGACTTGTCTTTTTTGCCTAATACCTTTTGCCTGACCTCAACATTGCTCACATGGTAATTCCACCACACGTGAGCAATGCTACGAAGACATCTATGGTCAGAACCCTGTAACAGCTTCATGTCTTACACTTATAACGACTATGTCTTACTACCATATAACAGGACAGAACTCATAGCAGCGTAGTATGCTCGTCTTCGGTAGGTAGTCGGATATGTCTCCAGTCGGCGCTACAGATGATGTAGGTTGGCAAATGCTAAACGAGCCTTCTCTATCCGGACTGAGATTTCGTTAGCAACCAGGGTGTTCGGTGCAACTCCTCAAGCAAGTGAAATTGACCAATTTCACCATTTCACTCCGTAACACTAAACTGGGAGTGGCTGCAGACTAGTCATGGCTAGAGCATCTTATGTTTGACAAGTGCCAGCGAAACATGCCAAACATACCCAGATTTTTGCGTAACGCGTTCACAAAACCCTGCATTCTGTCAGCTTCACTCAACAGGATAATATCGTCTGCATACTCCAAGTTGATCAGATGGCCACTAAGGAGTAGGTGAATCCCTGTGAAGTTGAACGTACCTAAGGTTAATCCATTATTACATTTATAACGAAGTTAAATAGGAACGAATAAGAATTTCACGGCCTATGATTCTTCATATCCGAGAGGAAAAACAAAGTTTTTTTGCTGTCATCGAACTTATCTAAACGAGAGTCGAGTAAAGAATCTGTAAGAAGTATCCAGAAATTGAAATTGAATAATTTACTCCAGATCCTTCAGAAACCTAGTTTTCATTTTTAGGCTTGGCTTTTTTGCACACATTTCAATGCTTATAGGAAAACCGTTGTTGGATAAAGGTTGAAATCCTTAATCTCTTTTCAATTCGCAGAATTAGATTTTATTAGTGGTTCAATAATAGTCAAAAAAGTTAATTACCATCCGTAAAATAAGCCTCTTGCTATAAAGCAGAACATACATTAATTGCAATTTTGGATTTTGAGAAATTCTATATTTTAGCTAACTAAATTTTCTCTAAGATTGGGTACAATAAATAAATGCATCTTGAGTCCGTTACAGTTGAACAATCAAATGTTTAAGGCCTACAATCTCACGTTAGAAAACGTTTGAACATGAATAAAAAAGAATAAGAATTCAAAGTAAGGGGTGTGTATGTAGCTCTGAAAGAAGAAAGATAAAATAGGTGCTTTGGTTTTCTTGAAAGCTGTATACATCAAATTTGTCGAAAGCTGTGTGTAGTAGATAATAATATTTTTTAGTTAATGTTTCACCTTATTGTTTTGAGTTTTTATTATTTATTCCATACTGTATAGAAATAGTGATGAGGCTGACAATGATGTTGTTTCTTCATCAACTGAAAATGCTAATATTGCTGACAATTCTTCCAAGCGTTTTCAAACTTCAGAACCTGTACTAAATTCAAGTGGTTTGAATATGAATGTGAGACGTCTGGCGAAAATACTTCTTTCCCTAGGCCATGATGTCAGTCCGAAGGCAGTTGCTGGACCAATGGGTGAGTCAAGTTATTAATACGCCAAATTTGTCGATTCCACGTATTATTACCTTATTTTAGGAAATTTAAGAGGAGATACATTTTATACGTTTCAATGTGCTATGTAGCAATCCAAGCTGCATAAGTGAATGTTAATTTTTTCTTTCTAATAGACTTTACAATGAGATTGTGATCTCTGACGTATCAGAATTCTGTTACCCGAAATCATCTATAACCTACCGGCAAATGCGACCCATTATGAACTACGAGCTAGTTGAAAGGTGTCTGTGAGATTGTTGAAATCAGTGTTACAACAAGTGACACCAAACACATCAAAATCACTTTTGCTTGTGCAAACGTATAATAATTTTTTGGAAATTTCGAAATGTGTAACACTTTTAGTGACACTTGCTTCTAAACTTTTAATTTGTTGGTAATATCTGACTTATGACTTTTCTCGGTTATCTGTCACTATGTTGTTTCCAGCTGATACAATGATACTCTCTGTTGTATTGTTTATTGATTTGATAAATCGAGTGATTACATGAAATTGGTTACATCAGTGATGGATAGTAGCTACTAGTGGGAAACAGGATGCGCTTTTCGTCCTATTTAGGACTCGTCAGCTGAATATGACACTGAAATAACAAGCAATATCGGGGTATATATGCGCCCAGGAGCCCATATATCAACGGAGACCGATCAATTCGGTGCAATCAACGATGGGATAATGCAAGCAACAACATAAAAACTATACCCGTTGTACAAGAAGTGGCTATCGTGACTAGTTGGTCCAGCGGATAACGCTCTGACATTTGAAGCGATCGGTTCTGGGTTCGAACCTCGGTGGGAGCAGCATAGCTCATTGGAAGGCAGGTACATCCAACAGACGATTCCCAGATAGGAGGGAATGCGCGTCCTGGATTCTTCTGCTAGTCACTATCCATTATATATATATATATATATATATATATATATATATATATATATATATATATATATATATATATATAAAGGATGCTTTCTGCATTCAGTTTTATCAATTGTTGGATTTAGTTACACTTTTGATACTTTGGCGAAGCCTGAATTTCAGGTTAAGCTGCTTTGAATTCATAAATGCTGGATATGTCCCATGTATTCGCATTTCAAGCATGTGAAAGTTTTGTGAATTGCTTTTGTGATGTAGTATTTCATGCGAATTGGGGAAGGTTGTTCTATACGTGCCTGTAACATGTAGTCTGAGAACCATTGGTTCGTATTCGATGATGGCTTCGTTCATTAATCCTGGTATATTTATCATGATATTGACATCAATTTATCTGTAGAATTGTAAACTACTGAAGAAAATCATTCCGAATTCTTGGTTTTATATTTCCTCTTTACAGCTAACAATGAAAGAACTCTACGTGGCGGACCTGTTGGTACACCAAGTGGTAAACAGTCAGCTGATTTAGAAAACATACTTTCAGAAACCCCTCCATCGTCTGAGATAAACGATAGTACGTCTAATTCAAATATGGTTCAGCCTCTGAGAACTACTGGTTGGCAAAGGTGGTGTATCAGTGTTGAACAAGCTAGCTCTACTTCTCAGTTGCATTTATTAGCTCGAGCTCTTGAACGCGGAGCTCTTCGAGCTGCTTTGGGCGGAAGAGGTGTGTCTTCTGCTATTTCCAACTATGTTTCACAACATCCTTTACCTACTTTAAAATGCACTTTGTGTCGGTAAGTTTTTATATTTTTTACTTTCTTGTTGGGTAAAAAATATTAAATGGTATGTTTTAGGAGTGTAGGAATTCGATTTCCAATCAAGTACTCCACAGTTTTGTGTCACAGAGTAGTATTATTGCTTGATCACATTACTGGCAGTAATCCGTGAAGTTTCCAATTGTTTGTGTCAGCTGGATCCATTAAAGTACACCACGATGATTAGTTTCCTAGGTTGATGACCACATTGCGAACTGATTGATAAGGTTGGGTGATCGCTCATGTCTAGACAACACGAAATTGGCCACTCATCAGTGACCACTTAACGTATCTAATTGTTTATGTTATACCTGTAGGATTTCTATGCCCGAAAATCAACTACCAAGTATGGTTAGCTGATAATCGTCCACGGTGATGGGTGTACACTCATTGTTTATCTTTTAAATTTGTATAATCCCATTGATATTTCATTACTAATTCTCTCTCCTCCGATATATTTCCTCTTTATTTTAATATCTCTCTAGGCAGCTAGTTCACTAGTTACTAGCCGGTCCTAATCCCGGATAAAGAGGGAAGGTTGGACATAGGGCTAGCAACCCCACCCCGTAAAACCAATCTAACCGCTAAACAAACTTCAAAGCATAAAGTTAATATAAAAAATAAAATAAACTTATTCCTCACTGGAATCGGAGAGACGAAATGACACCGGTTGGTGAAAGCCTGTCTTCGGGAAGTCAGTTGGACGATATGTCTTCTCTCTCTCTCTCGATGAAAGCGAAAGTAAGGATGGGGACATAGAATATCTGCACAATGTTTGAACCTACCAAGGCTGCCCAGATTGCAAAAGAGACTAGAAGGTATAGCATAGAAGTGCTAGGCTTGGAATCTGCAGATGGAATAGAAGTTGGCTCTTCAAACTGTCAACCGGAGGGGAGTCAATAATCTACTCCGATATTGTCACCCAGATGACAACCACGAGCACACTGAGTTGAGGAGTGGCTATCATGATGTCCCCTTGAAGAGCATCGAAGGCTCACTCTCATGCAGTGGGAACCAATCTCCTCCTCCACAATCCGGATCATGACAACAAGATTCAACTGAAAAGGAAGGAAAGTGACAATCATTCAATGATACGCTACACTAAGCAACTACAAATAATGCAGATGAGGCGGAGAAGGAGGAGTTCTACAGACAGCTGCAATCAGCACTGGACAAGACCTCAGTTGGCAATATCAAAATTCATTCTAATGGGTGGTGTGACATGAATGCCAAACTGGGAGTGGACAACACATGAAGAGAAGTCATCATGGGTCGAGAAGCGCTCGATGAAATGAATGAGAAGGGAGAACTGTTTACAGATTTGTGCGCATTCAACGATTTGGTGATTGGAGGCGAGGTAGTGTGTACAAACACAAAGCGACTGACATAGATTTCACCAGACTCCAGGACACACTACACTAAAAGTCAGATCGACATAATCTGAATGTGAAGAAAGTGGAGACGCAGCTTACTCGACACGGGATGAGATGAAGAAGAGGGGCAGATGTGGGTTCACACCACTCACTGTCTAGTGCAAGGAACCTACCTTCCAAATCATGTTGAAAGCTTTCAGTTCAAAGAGGCTGGTAGTTGACTACAGTTCAAGTTCAACACTTAGAACAGAAACTGAAGGACATCTCCACGTATGCTATCGGGAAAAAATGGGAGACATTGAGCAACATCCCTGAAGAAACTTGTTTGGAAGACACACTTGAACTCTTTGAAAGAGATGTGGAAAGAAAGTTGCATAACCGTGTTAGGAAGGACGAAAGAAGAAGACAAGGAATGGATCTTGACGGATTCATAGAAGCTGATAGAGGAGAGGAAGATAGTGAAGTAGAAGATAAACCATTGCAGTGCAGGGGAAGAACAACGAAAAGAGGAACTGAACGCAACCTGTAAACCACTACGCTGGACAAAGAAGTGAAGAAGAGTTCGCAGAAAAACAAAAGACACTTCTACGACACACTTGCAACTGAAGCAGAACAGGCTGCTGGTAGGAGAGACAGAGACTTGACAGTGCTATATCAAATAACCAGGTTACTATCTGGGAGAGAAGTGATCAACGCAGATGAAACCAATGAAAGGTTGTGAAGGAAACCTAGTTACCAAAGAAGAGAAACAAAGGAAACGATGGACTGACGGCTTCGAAAAACTCCTGAATCGACCACCACTACCACCTTCTGTAACTCGTCCAGAAATACCACCAGCAGCCCAGCTGCAGAATTACCAGTGAACACAAGCCGTCCGACAAAGTCGAAGTCCTGAACGCCATAAAGTTACTGAAATCCGGGAAGGCAGCAGAACCAGATGGAGTCCCTCCAGAAGCGCTGAAAACAGACGCAGAGATAGCAGTGGACATCCTCCCACGACCACTGCAGAAGGTTTTGAAGGAAGGAAAGGTACCTGTTGAGTAGAAGAAGGGCTACCTTGTCAAACTTCTAAAGAAGGGCGACCCAAGTCTTTGCAAGAACTGACGAAGAATCATGCTGCTGTACACTTCAAGCCAAATATTAAGCCGCATCATACTGGAGAGACTAAACAATGCGCTGGATTCAAAGTTACGATCGGTAAAGGTTGGCTGGCTTCAGGAAGAACAAATCGTATGCGAATCAAATTGTAACTCTACGCTACGCATCTTCATAGAACAGAGCGTAGAATCGCAGTCAACTAGATCGTTACCTCAACTTCATTGACTTTGAAAAGACCTTCGATAGGATCAAATGAGAAGTAATTTGGCAGCTACTGCTTCAACACTATGGTTTTAGTGCCACAAACATTTATCAACCTCATTCAGCAGCTGTATACTATATGATGCAACATGCCAAGTGATTCATGATGGAAAGCTCAGTGACGCCTCTGAAGTGAAGACAGGAAGGATTAAGACAAGGCTGCCTATCATCATCACCGATGATCCTCCTGATTGTGGTAGACTGGATCATGCAGCAAATCGTGAGGAGTGAGAAGATGGGCATTGGCTGTTTGACCGATGAATAGATCACAGAGGAAGATTTGGATTTCGCCGACGATGATTTATGTCTAATGTCTGACACACAAACTCGAAGATCTACAGGCAAAAAGCAACAAGTTGACAGAAGAGGTGGGGGTAGCGAAGACAGGACTTCAGGTGAACGTAGAGAAGACAGAGACGGAGGTGATGAAGTTACCAAAACAACAACCATAACAACAACAAGCACTAATCACCATGAACGGGAGAAACCTAAAGGAAGTAGTCTCTTCACCTACCTAGGAAGCATCGTTTTTACTACAGGTGGTACAGGCACAAATGAGAACGTCAGAGCAGCCAGGATCGGAAAGACAGCAAGACAGGCCTTCTTGCATTAATCTGTGGGGAATCAGCGTGGAGATCTACTGCACTCAGGGTAAAGCATGAACAAATTTGTTGGTTTAGTTATCTTCTTGGTTATATGAACTGTCACAACTTGGACCGATACGCTTTGAGTGAATCTATTCGTTCTTATATCTACCTAACGGCTACTGATATAATTTGTTCATACTTTTACCTTTCGTCTTATTTCTAATAGGTTTACTGATTTCAAGTGTTGTGACTGGAAGGGATATCCAATATAACGAGTCCGTACTTTGTTGATATATGTCCCTTCGAATGGAGATTATTAATGTTATATGCATGAAATGAAAACCGGTTCGGCGTATTGGTCTTGTATTCTGTTCAACAGAACACCGAGATGATAATCTGAAGACCTCTCGTTCAAATTTTCCTGCGATCCAAGTTTTCCACTGACTGGTCACCGTATGAGCAATGTTGAGGTCAGGTGAAGGGTAATAGGCAATAGAAGAAAGTCTATCGATTAGGTTATGAACTTTCATTGGCTGAGATGGCTTGGATAGGTGTTGTGCATACTGATCCTGCCTCGATGTACCATACTAGAGAAAGCTGGATTAGGTTGGAAGAGGGAGGTTCGGAGTGACCGAACCAAGACCTAGGATCAGTCATTGAAGCCTCTGACTGTTGGTTTGAGCCGTATGGTGAGATGTAGACTGCGTGGCTGAATTCCCTCAGACGATAGGAACCAGTAGTTGATGACTGTTAATGAGAAGGCTGAAAATCGGTCACAATGGCGTAGATGTATTCACTCTTTGACGTCTTCCAAGGCTTGAATATTTTCATTGATGTTTATCTTCAAATTGCCTATTTTCCCATACTCCTTTGTCTACATTGATATCAATCTTTCCTATACACTTGCTCTTGTACATGCTACTATGAAGTGTGTTAAGTTGAACCGATGCAGTTGTGTGCGAGGTTCCACGTTAATTTTCTCTGTCTGTCACCAACTTCGGTCACCATCCATTAAAATTGCTCGTCTCTCTAAACTATTTTTTTCTATCTTAAAAGTGTGTCTAGACAGACAGAAAATATGAACATGAGATCTGGCATTACTGCGTAATTGTTCAATTTACCACAATTAATGTCAGCACATCATGGTACAAGGGGATGTAAGTAGCATGATAGAAAGCCAGATAAAGATACAAGAACAGATGATGAAATGACTCAAACAGCGAAATGCAGTGCAACGCTGAGAACGATGATACAATGTGGAAGCATCTGGGCTGCTGCAACTGGTTCTCAGCCATATCAGCAGATATCTTCAATCATCTATTTCGGTTTTTACATGTATTCTGAGTCAATGGTAGTTCACAACCTAATCAATTGACTTACCTCTCTTACCTAACATTCTACTCATAAACTTTATATTACTCATTTGGTTTTTCGACGACATGCGGTTAAGGCTTCTAAGGAATTGGTGATCGAACAGGCGAAGTCTGCTCATTTACCTCGCCTTTGATAACCATGTTTCACTACCATAAAGTGAACTACCGTGCACCATACTCGATTGTCAATAGACAGATTCTTTGTCAGTCTACATTTCAGCTGCTTCCGCTCCTGTTTATGATCTTAATCTGCAGAACAGTTTTGGTGTACATCTATTAATCTGCATAAAGCTACCGAGATCCACTGATCCTTTTTTACTCCGTTTCGTGGATCGTTACACTTTTTTTTACAGCAGACATAAGACAGAACCAAGTTTCTTCAGTATGGGTAAAGTTGTTACTCTGACAAATGTGTATCCCATTCTACTTCGAAAACAGCCTTGAAATTCTCACTATCGAGTTGCATCCGTAATGATTTCCAGTGTTCGTACATCTATTTAGTTGTAGACATATGGTTGTTTGAACCAGCACAAATTCCGATCACGTGCTCCGAAAACAGTGACAATCCCCTACCAACACTTCAGCCATAACTTGTAGTAACGTAATCTGTCTATCTTTATTGTTTTAAGGTCAGTGAACTCTACTTCAGAAAGTATCTCTCTTAAGATCTGAAGGTTGGGCTGGGCAGAAATGAGTAGTCGTCTTGATATGGTTGTTGCAGGTGATAACCGTTACTGGTTCGCTCATGTGGGGTTGTGAACGTACCACTTCAGTGTCTTTCCATCTAGCTTCACCTTCCTACATATGCATTGAAGTCATCGTCTGAGACAACCGAATTTGAATGATCGGCTTTCAGTAGGAGGCTAGACAGTTTTTGGTAGAATCTAACTTTCACTTCGGAGAGAGATAATATTGACACAGGACCTGGTATCACTACATAACGGTTGGTGTTTGCACACCTCTTATCAGCACATCAACTGAAAATGCTTCAGCATGATAACAGTCAGAAAGAACAGTTGAAAGCGGTAGAAAGTGGCGAAAAGAGAGCGAGAGCTATAACGAAATGCTGAAATTCAGTGTGACTAATGAGATGAAAATAATATTTGGAACATCTGCACCACTGGGATAGTTTCTGAGCCATGTCACTTATGGTTTACAACCACTGGTTTCTAATATCACGCCATCCTAACTGCAAACAGTGTGAGTTTAAGGAGGGATTAGAAAGCAGAAGGTACGCATCACTATCCTGCTTATTCTGCACTGCATGATCCAACATAACGACCTGTAGCAGTCTGTCACCGATATTCAGTTGAAGAATGATCTTTCTACTTTTGGTTCAAAGTTTGAACCTTGATCGGAATGTAATTGCTCTGAGGCTCCCTAGCGAGCAATCCATGTGTCGGAAATTGTCTCCGCGACACTGTTGCCATCCATCTGCTCTAAGGGAAAAGCTTTGCACCGTTTTGTAAAGTAAATCTACCGTTACAAAGATGTATTTGTTTCCACTACTTGTTTCACGTAATGATATCGATGATATCTACTCCAACTATTTCGTTCGGATACCAGCCTCCATGTTAACTAAAGGTGCTCTTGCGTTTCTCGCTGGTTCTTTTCCTGCTCGCACGTCACACAGCTTTGGACGAACACCCCACTGTTGTCTGGGCCACCAAAACCGCCGTTTATTCCCCGGTGACCTAGGTTGCCGTAGACTTTGTCGACGATCGCTGTTACGTATGTCTATGGAACTACGACCTTACGAACTTAGTTAGGGTCAGGCTGAACACATAAAACACCGTCCACTATCACCAGTTAGTGTCATAGAGCCCGTAGACACCTTGTTTTCCAGCTCTTACGCTGAAAATCAGCTCCCACTGGTCTACCTGTTTCGCCCCGCAAAACCGTTTACAGCACTCCTGTTTCAGCATATATAGCTTGTGTGTGAGTCCTACGAGTGACGCTGTGCAAATATCAATTTCCTCACAAGAAGGGCAGTCACCGTATTTTCTAAATGAGCGTCTCAACAATGCATCGACATTCTTATGCTACCTCTCGGTTGTGTGTTCACAATTGAACTCATACTCCTGTAAGTATCCTTGCCACTTAGTAGTTTGTCCTTCTGGGTCCTTAACGATCTGTAGCTACTGTAGGGTTTTTTCATATGTTCGTAGAGTAAAACATTTTCCTAGAAGGTATGCACTGTACTTACGAATAAAGATCATTGCAGGTAATATCTCTTTAGGAGTAATGCAGTAATTTATCTCTAATCAACTCAAGATATGACTCTCAAATTCCATGACCTTCCGAACCTGTCTGCATCAATACAGCGGTAACAGCCGATTCACTAGCGTCGGTATCCATAAGGTACTTACCGGCAGTTAGAGAAGTGTCATGGAAAACCAAAATGGACACTGAACACAACGCATCTTTCAAGATGGCAAAAACATGTTGATAGACATCAGTCCACACAAATAGAACATTTTTTCCAGTAAGATGAGTCAATGGACTGGCTATATCTGTGGTTCCGAACAAAAAGATGATAATATGAAGCTAATTCGCGAAAACTACCTACTTCTTCGGCAGATGTTGGCACTGACGAGTCTTCAGTTGCAGCAACTTTCTCAGGATCACTTCTAACTTTATCTGCACTCACTACATGACCGAGGGACGTTACTTCTTTCCTTAACAAACGGCATTTACTCATCCGTATATTGAGACTGAAATCCATTAGACGTGTTAAAACTGCCCGCAACTGTTCCATATGTTCTTCGACTGTACGGGTGAACACTATCATATCATCTAAATACACCATACAGATATTGGTTATCAGATCCTTTAGAACTATGTGCATCGGTCTCTAAAACATCGCAGGGGCGTTCATCAAACTGAAGAGTATGGTTTGGAATTCATGAGGACCAATCGGTATCGGAAATACATTCCTTGGGCGATCACTAGAATGTACTTCCACCTGCCAGTATCTAGAAGCCAAAACAAGTGTGGGGAACCATAGGGATCCTGGTAACGCTTTTTTTCTTTCAGTGAATAGTTTGGTTATCGTCACTTCTAACGTTATTGCACTTAGCTGATTTTCATTTCTTCATTAGTTTACTACACCCCGAAATAATTAAACTTCGAAATGACCCTTTTGTTTGATTTTCGCCTATCGTTTTGTCAACTTGGACTGATTAAGTAGCCATGATTCGGTAGGCATCTGTGAACCACTTTCTTCATCTCGTTAAAGTTGATTTCCTACATCAGCATTATTATCATTATTGTTATCATCCTTTGTTCTGTTACTTTTTCTCATAACAGAGGTCCTCCAGATGTTCATTACTTGTCTACGGCATATGGAAATTTATCTGCATTTTCCGTTTGTTCCGGGTGTGCTTGTCCTTACCATTTGGACTGTCTAATCAATCCAGCAATCGACGAACCAGTATCCGAAAACCTTCTCGGCCTAGGCATTCTGATATTTCAGCTTCAAATAGTCCTGTATCTAATAATATCGATACGCCATTAACTGGATTTATAAGTAATCATTCCTCTCTATCCAGCATAACTTCTGCTCGTCTGGAGGTAACAGGTGGTAGTGTTGTATTGTGTGCATTTTGTCTTCGTTCCGCTGGTGTTCTGTCGTCAGTAACAGATAACGATACAAGGCTACCACATCCCAATAATCAGGCATATGAATTGTCTACCACATTGGTATATTCAAATGAAGATTATGTATGTCCAAATGAGAATGTTCTCCGCCAAAGGTAATTACGGTATCTGAGCCAGTTTATTTATTTTCCATGAGCTGGACAATCAACTAAAGTGATATAACTGAACAACATTTATGACGTCATGTTTGATGAAATGCTTTAACCTTCTCTTGTTAGTTTCAACTGAAAGCTGATGACACTCAAGTGGTATTGAAATTGGTGCAATCGTTTATTGATGGGTGATTTATTAGTAATAATCTCTTGTTTGGTACAACATTAAAATATGAATAACCATTCGGTAAATACTATACTGTACTAGTTAACCAGAAATTAGTTTAGGTTTTAATTCGTTTCGGTTGTGGAATGTATTGATATTTGTTTAGTGTCATATAAGCATAGCAGCACTAGTGGAAATTATAATTGTCATCTCTTGTGAAGGCCTACATATTTGCAAAAAAGCAATTTGGAAAGTAAGGCATATATACTAAATGTATGAATCCTAGGAACAATAGCTATTCAAGTGAAGAAAACATATTGTTAGTTTTGTTTTAGTGTGATCAAAATCGCAGGATAAGAAGGAATTTGAAGTCAATAAATTAATCCCCACAAACGTCAAGACTGAATAGTTTTAGTGCTCATTGGTAACTCGCTTCGAGGTGTGGTTCTTAAAGTTCTAATGAGAAGTCGTGACGGGGAGGGGCAACCAAGTCGAATGTGAGGACAGCTACTCAACAACGGTTTCGATGGAAGTTGCGCTATATCGTGAGAAGAAAGAAGTAGGAAATATCACCACTGGATTCCGACCTAATGACTCAATGGTAACGTGGTCGCCTGAGAACCTGAAGGTCCTGGATTCGATCCTTGGTGGTGTCGTGGATGCACATTGTTGAGGATTCCCATACTAGGACGAAGCAGTTGTCCAGTGCTCCCAGACTTCCAATGTTTCTCCAATTGATGTCAGTCCATGATGAATACCAACCTGGAGCTCAGTGGTTTGCGGGCTTGACTACCAACCACTGTCACATTCGAACCCCACTCCACCCACAGAGGTTTGGGCAACCAGCTCGTATCACTAGTCCTCACACAATAGGTGTGGCTCGTTGCCTACTGCACAGATGTGCACAAAGTGGCTGAATGTATTTCGTTCGTTCGTTTTGTTCGAATGCTAACCTGAAACTAATAAATAAATCCTTACAACCCCCCAAGTTGGATTTGAAAAGATATTTATGTTTTAGATGTAATGCCATACACATATTAGGTCGTTACCTTAATGAGTGCTTTGGATTTAAGATATTTTTCCCCCGCCAAGAGACACATAACTGTAAATGTATCAGTACTGACAAGTTCGCATTAGCGGTGATGCTTGAAATACTAATCGTATTGTGCATCATCCTATGTCTTGATTTTTTAAGTTACCTTTTATTTTTTATTTGCTGATAAACTGACAGTTTCTGTCTTTTTTTTTAAAATATCACTTATCAGAAGGCAAACTTGATTGGAAGGAAACGTAGTTCTCTTGTTCCGATGAATCCGATTGTTCATCTTCTAATAATGAAAATTCCGATGAAAAAATAGACAATAATCTCGAGAATGTAGACAATTCAGATGTAGATGAGTCGGTTAACAGTCACCATGAAGCAACAACACATCTAGACTCTGTATATACAATTAAGCGCCGGGGAGACCTAAGCGTTTTCATCGTGTAAATACTCATCGTGGTCGTTATTCAACTAGATCTGTGTTAGAAAATCTTAATGATTGTGACGAAGTTCATAATTCTATCACAGAAGCCACTTGCTTTTCTCCGAAGTCATTAGATGTCTCATCGATTGATAAATTATGTGTTACTGTGGATGTACACTATGATGATGAAGTTGAACAGTTGCTTAGACCATATAATCAGAGAAAAAAACCTAAAGAACATTCCAAATCTCTAAGTACAGAAGTTGAAGGAAACTGTCGTTGTAAGTTCCTACTTTTGTAACTATTTTTAAGTGATTTTACAGTAAAGTTATTAAGTATTACAAGTTACTTCTCTAAAAGATTATGTCTATCCTTATAATTTAGGGTTTAGTTTAAATTTACTTTGCTTCTTTCACTTTATCCATCAGTCATCGTTTTCTCATGAGTGATTTTTGATAATTGCTGATAACTTTTCAATTTTATCAGTGGTTCCCAGACTACCATTGTGTACAATCTTTATTTTTAACGTTCAGTAGAATGTACTTCTATTGTCTTTAAGAGCCTGTATGAATATCTATGGAAGCTAAAAAGTTTAAAACCCATTGGCGTATTATGGTAATAGCTTTTATCAAAACCCCTTGTAGCCAGGTAAAGTTATGACGAACTTGTAACTGGATTGTTTTCGTGCTGACTGACTGATTGTTGAACTGGTTACGTTGGTTCATGGCTTCGACGCTATAATGTTATAGTATGGAATAAGACTGTCAAAATCTTCATAAGTGGCTGTGAACTTTTGAAACATTTTTCAACAGATCGGTTTGCCCCGAAGTTTCAGGAGAAAGCATGTAAATGTCAGATTGGTTAAAGAGACAAACGTCAGTAAGGGATTCAAATCCAGAAAGACCTGGTAACAGCCTAGGCTATTATAGATATGTGTAAACCCCTGTATTCTGTATTCATTTTTTGACGTTGCAATAAGACTTCTATTGTCTTACCGTCTTTTCCACTTATCAAGAAACCGAACGACCACCAAGGGGTAGAATCTAAAGGTCATTTTTCAAGTGTCCGCCTGTGTATATCTTTATATGAGCAATACAAAACAACTACTTTGACCTGACCATCACTGTACAGATTGTCAGTTAGGAGGAGAGGGATTGTCAATCGGCCAATAAATTCAAGGTTATGGTTTCGTTCACTTTCAATATTAGGATTTTTGACTGTCTATGCAACTTTTTACACTCAATTTGAAAATGTATGGGGAATAGTAGTGAGATGCAGGATTGATGTTTTGAGAGTTGATTGTAATCAACAATAAATATGTGAAGTTAAACTGTACGCTCTGATCGACACCTGATCTTGGAATCTTAACAGCAATATTAGACTAAACTTGTATATCGAAACTAAGATTTATAGATGACAGTTAAGGAGGATGAGAAACAAAGAGTCTGCGGTACCCGGAATATGTTTATTCGCTTTTCTAGAGAATACAGTTATCAGCACATAAAGTTACACTACTCATTATTGAATACATCTTTGGCTTTTGATTTCTTTAAGCTAGTGTTATTTTATCCATTTTAAAAATCTGTACTCAGTACTACTTTAACATATGTTATTAATACTCGGACATTTTGACAATAATAGGAAAGGTAGATAAACGATTGAAGTCAAGTAAAGATATTAAGCATTCGCGGGAGATATCTCCAGAGGAACTATTGTCCACACTTATGTTTCACTCTTTAAATAAAATTTTAAGAAAGATTAATATGTAATTGTTTCTAACTTCAGAGACCGACTGTATGTCGAACTACTGGATGTCTTGCTTTCTGCATCCGCACCCAGAAAGGTTATACTTCCACGGAGTAAAGATAATCTTATAAGGCCTAGCAGTGACTAAACACAAAGCTAGCTGTCTTGTGGTGTTATCAAAAGAGATAAAAAGTGTACTCTAAACAAAAGTTTTGGATAGTACTATAGCAGATTCAAGAGTTGTAGACAACAAAAATGCAATCAAAACGGGTGGAAAGCTTAATTAGTGTTTTGATTAAGAGATTTCTGAGAATATGAACGATGTTAGTAGGCAAAAATGTTAGGTATGCTTATAGATTTCATTTTGACTATAAAAATGGTGTATTACTCAAACGGAAACGTTTGGGTTTCATAGTACTCCTGTGAATCATTAAATAACAAGATGAATGCACAATCCATTCAAGCAATTTTATAGGTTGTTGTATCACTTTAAGTATTGACTACTTTAAATGTATACATCTTATTTTCAAGATCGTATAGCTCCATTCGCACTATTGGCCTCATTTCTTTGAGGTCTTGAACACTGATTACTACCTTTTTCTTTTGTAAGGAACTACTCTATATTCGGAATTTATTTTCCCCGATAGAGGTTTATTTTGTAAGATTCAGTCACGTGAGGATATTCCAACGATCAACTAGAGTTCAACCATATCAAGTTATCTTTAAATGAAGTGTAGTATACATTTACAGTCAAAACTCGTTAACTGATTTTTACGTTAATTCATTTTATATCTAAAGTTGATTCGTCAACTCATACGTTGTTTCTCTTTACTTTGTTGTCTAGTGAAACGTGCATCTATTATTTTAGATAACTGTGCTCCACAAATCACAAATACTCGTGATAGAGGTCGTCGTTCTTATCGTGGTCGTCCTAGAAAACCTGATATACCTATATCAAGTCCCTCATCTGATATCCCTGACCCAATTCCCCCACTATCCAGTAATCAAAGCCAGTTCGATCAAGCTACTGCAGAACGTTTTCTGACAGAATTGTGTATGAGCAGTTCAGCACGTCCACTTCTCCGATGCGGACTTGGTCGAACTGTAGCTCTGGGTGAATTAAATCAATCTAATGGTGATTTAGAAACTGATTTTATGCCTATTACCACAATTGAACGTTCCAGAACAAGTCATCGGACACGATCAACGACATCATCCAGTCATAATGCTGAAGATCGCAGATTGTATGCTTACGATTTAGTTGGTTTAAAAGAGCTTTTAAGTCGTGGTGAACTACCTCGGGGACCAGGGCAAGTAATTTCCCAGCTCAGGTTAGTTAACTTTCTGTATAAAGTTCCATAGACATGGTTCAGGAAGTCACTGTCCAGCGGTATTATTATTCATTGTATCCTCCTTAGAGCGTCCCAAGCTGTTCACTATGGCATCAGTTTTCTGTGTTTTTTCAAATTATAGCATTATATATTAGAATCTGCATTTATTTGGAAACTTTGTTATTAGACATTTGTGAAATAAATATGCCGATATTTTATCTACCACGCTAACTATTGGAAAACCTTACTACACGAAAAGTTCAGAAGGAAGAATGACAGTCTTCTTTAACAAAAGCACAAACGGGTATAGTGGTGTTGGCCCTTGAATTCCCATTGTTCTGCAACTCAGCAAAAGAAACAACACAGTATTATTTCGAGAGAAAAATAAACTGGAAGACAAGAATGATGATGAGACTTAGGGAATCAGGTTTTTGTTTGCTAAGATATGTGATTGGTGTAAATATAGAACGTGGACACTGTGGTAGAATGTAGTTGCATCTATTAGGTATATCTGTTTGATATGATACACAGTGATATAATATTATTTACTAAATACTATATCACTGTTTGCTAGTTCATATAGACTAATCTAATATAGAAGGGATGTTATGAGTTAAATAACCGCATTATTATTTTGGTCTACGTCTCATCACTTCATTTAGTGATGGTGGTCACAAATTTCCACCGTGTTCTACAGGCGAAAACTAACAAATTGGCGGAAGAGGCAGCGAAGACGATACTTCAGGTGAACATAGAGAAGACAGAAGTGATGAAGATGCCCAAACACCGCCACTACCGCCAACAACAACAAGCACCAATCACCATTAGGAGAAACCTAAAGGAAGTAGTCTTTTTCACCTACCTAGGCATCGTCGTTTCAACTACAGGCGGCACAGGCACAGATGAGGGCGTCAAAGCCACCATCGGAAAGACAACAAGACTAGTCCTCCTGCATTAATCTGAAATCAGTGTGGAGATCTACTGTACTGCACTACACTCAGCATAAAGCGTGAACAATATCCGGATTTTCAACACTAATCCCAATCAAGTAAGTCAGTGCTTCTATGTGATTGTTGAGAGACTTGGCAGTGCGTCACCAAAAGCATTTGCAACAAATAACTGCAGACATCGCACATGAACAGCTGCCACCCACACTCACTCAATACTGAAGATGACGGTGAGATGGATGGTGAGAATAATAAGAATAAGCAAGTAGGAACTGACTGTGGATGGCCCCACAACGAACCAGCCAACGAGACAACAACCTATCACCTGACAAATATACAGAGGAGAGTGGAGATGTATTGTATTGGGTTGGATTGGATTGTGGATACACTGAGAAGACGGTTTGTGGACATCATGTGTGACACGTGAGGCCATGTGAGGTGGTTGAGTGGGATTGAGATGGGAGACGGTGAGTTGGTTGTGTGAGGTGAGGGTGATGTGGAGGAGATTGTGTTTGGAAGAAATGAAAGTTTGTATGGAGTGTTGGAGGGATATTGTGAAGAGTGGAGATAAGAGAGTGAAATGGTGACGTGCCACTGGAGCGTTTTGTTCTACTAGAAACCCAAAGGATAAATATTAATAGTAATAATAATGATGATGATAATAATAATAATAATAGTGACAGTAATAAAGTGATACTGAGAACAGTTGTTTCTACAATACATAGAGATCGACGTGCTATATATTGTCATTGACATCAGAAGTATGGATGCAGGTCTTATGAAACACACTACTACTACTACTACTACTACTACTACTACTACTACTACTACTACTACTACTACTACTACTACTACTACTACTACTACTAACCTACATGAATCGTTAATTAGTAGTCACACTGTAAATATAAGACTGGTGAAAATTGATTTCACTGTGTATCATGTAATTATATTTTGTACTGATAAACTATTAGAACACTAAAGAAGACAATCGATTGAAAAAAATTCCTCTTCCGAAGATGTTATTTATTAAAATTGTGCACTTGTATTTGTACATATTGGAAACAAATAACAGTCTGTTATTCATTGGGTTCATGTGATTACTGAAGCGTTCGAGAATAAAAATGAAAAAAAGTTGTTTCCAGAGGCAAAGGGATTACGTAATACTACATTATCAATAAGACCATGTTTAAGAAAGAGATTCGACGTACTGCTTCTGCACACAAAGTTGAGGCTTGAATTGGTGAACCACCCATCCTTCTTTTGCGCACTAATTAGAGAACTGTACTCCTTTTGAACCGTTCGGTTCGGTTTTTTGTCGAGGACTGATAGGGAGGTACGTGACCTGAACCTACTCTGTGCTCAAGTATTGTACTGTTTATAGATTTACATTGACCTTTTGATAGGATTGCAGGTGGTAGTCATGTTGGCAGATGCGTTTGGAGAGTGCGTACTTTGTTCTGCTTTGACAGTTAACATTCATGTGACTCAGAGTGGCAGTTTATCCTTAACGCAGACAGCACAAACTTGCGTTCAATACAGTATATACAGTTATATCCTGTATCCCACTTTCAAGATGAAATTGTCTTCGGTTTTCATTGCTTCTTCGCTTGTCTCCTGTATTTCCTCCCGACATTTCTTGTTTCTTCCTCCTATACCCTTACAAACTGAATATCAATTACAACTAATTTTCCCCGTGATATCGTACAATTTACTACTACCATACTTCACTTGTCGAGGTAACGGTAACCAGGCAAAACGTTGCTGCGTTTATGTCTCGTCAATTTTGCTGGGATCCCCGTTTGTCGTTTAAAAACAAGAAGTTTAAGTTCCTAGTTAGATGGAGGCAATTAGCAGGAAGCCCTAGATCTTGGTTTCATGCTTTTTGGTACTCATCAGCAGGGTGTATCTACAACCTCGACGGGTTTGTTCTTCCGCCTGGGATTCGAACCCGCGGCCCGAGTGCCTCAGTGGTAACGTTTTTGACTACTGCATTGGGTGGTGTGAATTCGAATCTCAGTTGGAACATCAATTTCGTCGAGGTCGCAGATAGGGCTTCTTTATAATTGTCTCCATCCAACTGACATCTAACTCAATGCGTCGCAGTGGTGAGTCACTTAGCCTGGTAGCCACATCATAAAACGATCGTTAGAATTCGACCAGCACTTAGGACTAGGCTCCATGAAGATCGTTACCCTCCAGTAACCATTTTTCGTCAAGTCTTATCCTGTTGCTCCGGCGCTTTTCACGGGTGCGTCTACATCATTACATTTATTGTTCTAGACTTTTGTCGGTTTGTGTATGATATTTACTCATACATTGTTCACAATTCAATGAAATATGAATTTATGAATATTTATATATGCATTTAAAATCTCTATTTTGATTTTTTTTTTGGGGGGGGGGTCTAGATTACTGCTATCCCATTGGTTACGTAGCAATCGTCCGGGGAGTCGATTGCATCAGTGTGCTTCAGACTTACTGGAGCAGATGAATAAAAAGTTGAAATTATTACAGTCAAACACCGTTCCCATCAATGGTATCATTAACAGTAATATTGGCAGTAATGATGACAATTTAGGTATTGTGGAGCAACATATACAAACACTAGATACTACTGGTCATTATGGTAAACGTAGACGCCAATGATGATAGTGATATTGATATTATCTGTAGTCTTTACTATTCATTTATTTGTGTAATTTTTATTATCTTTTTAACTGATTCCTATGTAATATTTTTGTACAGTAATCAGATTGTGTACAAAATAAGTGTTTTATATTCATTACAGCTCCTTGTCATCTATTATATTCTCTTTAATGAATAGCCTTTTACAATATTAACAATAATAGTAACTATGTATGCTGTTATAAATGTTTCAATTTCTCTCCACTTGACAACTATGTATCGTCAATTAACCCCACTTTTTCATGTCTATTATAATGATGATCGGTTTTGTTTTTGTTTTTATTTTGTTTTTTTTTGTTATACTTTTTGGGCTGTATTATATGTTGTGACATAAGAAGTTATTATGTAATTTGTGTACTAGCTATTTTCACTTTCATGGCTAATCAGTTTTGTGGTTATTCTTTCTAAATGAATAGGTTATATGACATGAAGGATTCATTGTTGCTTTTTGTTTTGTTGTTTTTTCTTTTTCATGCACTCAATTAAGATATTAAGTAAATGTTAATTTGTTTAGTAACTCGATTATGAAGCTAATTCTATGTATCGTGTAAATTTATTGTTACTGAAGCTAATTGAAGGTTTATAAAGTTGGAAGATTTTCAATATTGAAATAATGGAGAATATTTGTAGCTTAGGTGGATGGTCTTGGGTGTATTGTGTTCTCTGAGCTGGGTTGTTTTCAATCGTGAAGCTTTCATCGCCTTGCTAGACGACATCATCAGCACTAACTTCACGATTAAAAACAACCCAGCTCAGAGAACACAATACACCGAAGATTTTCAATATTATTGTTAAGACATATGTGCAAACTCTTTGACTGGTATACAACAAGTGTAGCGTAGGAATTAATGAAAGCTTTCAACTATATGGATCATTGCTAGAAATTCTTGTTTTCCTCAACTAATGACTGTAGTATCGATTATTTTACTTCAGAAATGGCCATCACTCGCACTAGAGATTAGACATACTTTTTAAGCTTTCATATCTCTACACCCTTGTAATGTAAGATTTCGTAACCTGTTTCTGACCACAGGTGTGTCTTCACAGCATTGCTCGCATACAATGGAATCACCATGTGAGCAGTATCGAGGTAAGACGAAGACAATTTGAGAATATACTCAAGCCGTTCAATGGGGATGTTAAAATTCAGTGATTGAGGTGGCTTAGGCAGGTGTGGCGCACACAGGTCTTAGGAGGTTTCTTATGCACTCTTTGGTCACATATATTCTCTTTAAGTTACCATGGCGAAACAACTTCCAGGATATGAGTAGCTGGATGTGTCAGCCACCTACACGTTTCCACTAGTGTACGAGATCCAGTCTAGCATAACCTATGCGCTATACCTCTGGCTCATACTTCACCTTCTGATATCAATAATAATCTACTTACAGTTTCCCCAACCTTTTACTCCGCGACCGTTGCTGACAATCAAAGCCTTGGAAACTTCATTCCTAGTCTCCTAGGACTCCGCCATCGATTTCATATTGGGGATTTTGACGTCCTGACTCCATACCAAATCGGACAGCAGCCATTCGCTCATCAAAACTCTGAAATCTCGAGTCATGGATGTACTCTGTGTTTCTGAAACACGTATATAGGACTTAAGTGTAGTCATTAAATTGACCTTACCTGACCAGTGAGATGAATCTTCAAAATTCACCTTACGAGTATTCAGAGACCCAGTGGGTGGCTCTCTTGAACTCGCTGGTGTTCGGAAACCATCGAGTTGTAGAGCAAAAACCCAACTTAACTAAATACCACTAAACAGCCATGTGTGCACTGTTCGACTGGATGGGCCAGTACAACCTGGGAAGGACTGTGAGAGTAGGCGAAGCCTATTCGTAATCTTCGCCTACACACCGACTGACTGCCGTTTGGATGATGGGAAGGATGAATTCTATGAAAAACTGTCAATTTTTCTACAGGAAGCAAAACGTTCATATATAGTCAAACAGCTTTAACACTCAAGTAGGGAAACTGAGCTAACCGGATAGGCATCTTAGAGATATCAACAAACTCATATTAAAGAACCAACAGTGGCTATCATCTGTCACATGTTTGTTCTGAAAATTACTTGTTTCTGGCCAGCGCCAACTTTCATTCATGGGTAGAGACACTGTCTCACTCGGCCTCTGTCCACATTAAACCAACGATAGACTCAGGTATTGCAATATGGCGTTGTTGGAGAGGATTGCTACTCTTTCTGGAGTACTTGCTTGGATTACTACTAAAAGTTAGAACTAGTACGGATGTCTGCGAGCCACTGGTCCCAGATAACAGGCGGAAGTTAGGCCTTTGTGTGTTCGACTGCAAGATGAGAACTTCGAGAAGAGGTAACCAGGCATTTGTCTGAAAGTGACAGGAATCCTTATCCTGAGGAAACCTGGCGTGATATTAATTCTGCTATAGAAAGAGTGGCAAAGACAGTTGGTAACCTATATCGGAAGGGTTAGTGAACATCACTGGATTTCCACAACGCCATCCTAACTGATTGATGCGAGAAGACTGATTCCAGCTGACTGTGACCATGATGAGGAGTGAGATCAGGTTAGGAGTAAGTGGAACAAGAGTCTTCGCAATGGTCGCGAGCGATGGTGCGTAGCGAAAGGAATGCGGATACAGAAGACATTAGGGTTGGGTAAAACTTGGCAACTGACTATTCAGGCTTACTAAGAATATCAGCGTAAGGAAGACGATGGTGACTGAAACCATCACCAAGAAGGATGAGACGCTGATATTATCTGAAGACAGGTGGCTAAAATGTTGGGCAGGACACTTTGAAGTACACTTCAAGTGGTCCTTAGCTACACTTCAGTCGCCCAACATCCGGCCCGGACTTCAGTGGGACATAAATGTCGGTCCTCCAACTCTTTTTGAAGTCAGGAAAGCTGTATTGAACCTGAAACGATGCAAAGGAGCAGGACCTGACAGTTTTCCACTGAAAATTTCAGGGACAGAGGTAAGAAATTACTGACTAGTGACGGAGGTATTAGATAGTGTATAAGAATCAGAAGTGCTGCTGTCAGACTGGTCTTCACTGATCATTACAGTCCATATGAAGTGATAGAAGTTTTCTTGTGGCAACACGCTGTGACTTACATAAATATAAACTGTGTCTAATGTCAACGCAAAATAATTAGTTTAAGTGACATCATGTTGAAGACTCTGGGGTCCGTAGGTATCCAACACCTGGTCGGAGCTGTAGAACGGCAAACTCAAAAAAGCCAGACAGGTTTTAGATCTGGAAGAGGGTGCATTGATTCGATCTTCACTCTTCGACAGGCTCTGGAACACAGACATGCCGGTGGCCAACACTTGCCATATTTCTTGACCTGGAGGTGGCCTTCGACATTGTGAACCGTCAGGTGTTGTGTTTTGGTATGACTTTAGAAAGTGCCGAACAAGTATATAACGCTAATCAAGACTCCTCTCTCGAAATCTGACAGTTGTGTAAGGGCTTATGGAGTGTTTTAATGCTAATTGATGACAACTAGTGGTGTTTGCCAGGGATGCTCACTGTCACCATTCCAACTTAACTTCGTCATAGATGTACAAATGGACATAACCGTAGATATTTCTGACTTTATAGGGAATGACTTACTCCTTGAAGGTCATCTGGCTGGTTTGGAGTATCCAACAGACATTGCCCTGCTGTGTGAAGATACTGACAAAGTACAGGGTCTTGTGACGTGCTGAGCAGAAATCTGTGTTTGTTTGGCATATGTTTCGTTGGCACCTGTCACTTGTATGCCACGTTCTACGTTGACTGTGACTATCTATCCTTTTCCAGTATACAGTATAGTAATTACTTTTCATGCAGATGGGTTGACGCATTCAAGAATCGATTTACAGTGGAATAACTTTCCATCCTTCATTTTACCTTTAGGTCCTAGTTTAATTAAATTACTCACTTTTGATATAAGTTTCCCTTATTTAGCTGCTCTCTTTTTTACTGTCATCAAGATTTATTTCAATACTCATGAAAGTATTGTTGATAATCAATACTACAGTTTATGAAGTGATTCAACTTCTAAGTTACTAGTGATCAACTTATGAATATCAAGTTTTGTTCTCTTATATTGGTCAAAACTGAACGATATTTGAATTTAAAATGTCCAGAACAAATGAGTGTTACGTAATAGTCCTTAGTAACACAGCATAGACTTTTCCGAAATTAATTTTCTTTTGTAAGACATGTAGATGCATTTGCTGATCTGTTTTTGAACTTTTACAAATTACCTGTACATCATTAGAAGCAGTTAAATAACGTAACATCTGAATTATAGATTGACACTAAATATATTTCGTCAAACGTAAGATACCTACTTACTTTCATTTTTCAGTAGTTCAGCTATTCTTAAATGTTTTTTATGTTTTATTAGAATGCTGCGAGTTGAAAGAAAAACTATTACGTCATGCAGTCATTGATCAATATTTTTGCTTCCTCATTGTGTAGGCTTTTAAACTATTCAATATCGCGTCAGTTTTATTCATATCTAAAGAGTTTACTTAATGTAGGTTTTATGGAATGTTGACGTTTTCAGTGTTAATTTTCATTTCTGTAAATCACTAACAAAATATTTGTTAGCATGAAATATGGAAGTGAAATATCTGTCGATTTTAAGTACATTTATTTATCAAGATTTTAAACAAAAACATCCAGTAGGCATGACCATCTGCATATGTTTGCTTAATTGTATTCATTAAATATAGGTTCAAATATTCAGCAATAGAATCATCTTAAAAAAATGTTTTCCCTTTTTATATTAAGAGCATCTTTTTTATTTTGAGGTGGATTTGATTAACTCACTGTATCGTTGTGCAACTTCGATGTCGTTTTCTGATTTCATACCAGGGAATGAAGCAAAGAATTTAGGAAATGTATACTTCGATTGTGTGATAAAAGTGTATGCGGCATATATCAAAGTATCATATTGCAAGGAAGAACAATATTGCATTAT